CCCCCCCCATGACATGACGCCAGATCCACAAGGCCACACAGTTCATGACCAACTCACGTAGCAACCCCCCTCCAGCTTAAGGATTAATGCCCTCCCATTAACCTTGCCTTTCTCCCCCGACACAATATCCTATACCTGCTCTAACCTTGCTCCTGTCCCGGATCCTCTCCCTCTCCACTGATTTCCCATGTAGACCTGTCCTCTTCCTTCCCTGCTCTCACATAGCTGAGTTTATTTCCAACATTATTATGCTTGCACCGGTTCTCACTGTCTCTTTACTTGCGGATTTTCTTATTTTTCCTTCTACCCTGAAGATGGAGGCGATACGGTCATCCGAAACGACGGTTAACCCCACATCTACATGGTGCCACATCCCAGAAGACTGCTTTCTTCACTTAATATTGAGTTCGTAAAACTGAAAATTTTCCTCCAGCCGTTATCCTTACCCATTGAGTGGGTTTGATTCTAGACACCTTGAGAAATAAGGTAGAATTTGAGGTTCTTTCCATAGTGAGTAGTAAGATTGCAGTTTTCTTGGATGTGTCACCGTGTAGTTTGGTAGATGGGTACCTGTGTTTTGGATGATTCTGACACCTCTTCTTCTCGGTGTAAGGGGAAGGTTTTGGTATCCATCTACCACTCTACGTAGCACCATATTACATTACATTGCATTGCATTGCATTGCATTCCATGGATCCAAAGTTAGTCAAAATGACTGTAGGATGTGGACTATGTAATATAAATACAAAGCGTATGTACAGTCCCAATGGAGTTCTCACACAGGAGAAACTAAGAATACACAGTGACTACACACAAGGCTGTTTAAAGATACACAAGTTATTTTCTAGACAGTAGGTATTCATCACCAGAGTAGAATGAATGTGTATTTAAGTATTGTTTCAGTGATATTTTCATTCATAAGACCTTTGAGATCAGATGGCAGGTTATTAAAAATGTTGATCCCAGCATAATATGAGCTTTTCTGAAAGCATGAGAGGTTAGGAATTGGTTTATGAAGGCAGTGTTTGTGTCTTGTGTTAACACTGTGTACATCGGCATTCGTCTGAAAATGTTCTTCGTCATTTGTAATGAAGTTAAGATCTGTAGTCACTTAAATACGTGGGGCAATCCAAAAGGTACCGAAAATTTGAATTTTGCGCGCAAATGGTTATGAGTACGTCGAAATACTGCTAGGTGTATCCTCACACATCCTTCTTGAATCAGTGTGGCAAGTGGTGTCGAGTTGAGTGGTTGGGTTTATTGTTGGTGAACGTATTTCCATTGTTGTGTTTCCGTGAGTGTGCGGTTTTGCGATGGCTGACCTGAGAGAGCAGCGTGTTTGTATAAAGTTTTGCTTCAAACTTGGGAAAACCGCTGCAGAAATGCACCAAATGTTGAAGCAAGCTTTTGGTGAAAACAGTTTAGGCCAGACACAAACTTACAACTGGTATAAGTGTTTTAAAAATGGCCGAACATTGACTGATGATGACGATCGTTCGGGACGGCTGTCAATGGGCAAAACACCAGAAAATGTCGCGAAAGTTAGGGATCTGATTCTGCAAGATCGTAGACTGACCATTCAAGACCCCTGTAACACCTTGGGACTAAGTTATGGTACATGTAAACGAATTTTGTCAGAGGAACTGAACATGAGGAGGAGTGCGGCGAAGTTTGTGCCACGACTGCTGCAAAATGAAGAGAAGCAGCATCGCTTGGAAGTCTGCAGGGAACTTCAGCAACAGCTTCAAGAGGATCCAAACTTTCTTTCGAAGGTTGTCATTAGTGACGAAAGTTGGATTTATGGCTATGACCCTGAAAGCAAGCAGCGAACATCGCAATGGAAAAGCCCTTCTTCACCTCGGCCAAAAAAAAAGCTCGACAAGTCAAGAGCAACATTAAGTCCATGTTGATCTGTTTTTTTTTTATATTGACGGGATTGTTCACAAGGAGTTTGTCCCTCCTGTTCAGACAGTCAATAAAGAGTTCTAAGGCGTTTGAGGGAGGACATGAGGAGAAAACGTCCAGAGAAGTGGCGCACGAACGACTGGGTACTCCACCATGACAACGCAGGACTGCATACGGCTTACATTGTGCAGGAATTTTTGGCTAAAAACAAGATGGCAGTTGTTCCCCACCCACCATACTCACCAGAGTTAGCTCCATGCGACTTCTTTCTCTTCCCCAAGATGAAAATCAAGTTGAAGGGGCGAAGATTTGATACAGTTGAGGAAATTCAAGCGGAAACGCAGATGGTACTAAACACCCTAACAAAGAAAGACTTCCAGGATGCATTTGAAAAGTGGCAGAAACTCTGGGATCGGTGTATGCACTCCCAAGGGGACTACTTTGAAGGTGATGGTGCAGAATAAGATCTAGGTAAGATGTAGTAGTTTTTATTAATATATTTCGGGAACTTTTGGATTGAACCACATAGATCTCTATAGGAATTATGGGATTTGACACCCATCATGATTCTAACAATTTTCTTTTGCAATGTAAATATGTTTTTACTGTCAGATGAATTACCCCAGAAAATTATTCCATACTTCCTTAAAGAGTGAAAGTAAGCAAAATAGATAGATTGATTTGAGAGTGTCAATGTTACTGCTATGTAACATGAATCTAACTGCATAACATGCTCTACTTAGCTTTGGAATCAACTGATCAGTATGGTTCTTCCAGTTTAAATGATTATCAATTTGCAAGCCAAGGAATTTTGTGTTTATTCCCTCTTCTATATATTTATTCCAAAGTACTTTAATCTTGACACTAGCATGAATAATTATGTGGAGTGTATTGTATGCAATTTATGCCTGTGATAGTGTTCAGATACATGTACTAATGTGTGTTAACTTTACTCTTTGAAATCTCTTTGATCCTACAGTTTCACGCATTTAAAAAATGTTAGAATCACCATGTGGCCATCCCTGTAGTCCTGAAACTTTTCACTGTGGGAAGCACTGCAGCACAGTGCAGAGACCCACATACCATCTGTTATTTTTGCCATCAGAATCAGTGGAATAAATAGCACTCCTAATGTGATAGGTGGTTTAAATATTTGGTTTGTTCCTGTATATGTAACATAATTTCTTGCATGAGGGTTCCTTAATTCAGTTATTGGCCTGGAGACATGCTCTTCTGGTTCAGGTTTTCGTGGTGTCCTCAGTCCTCCAACAAATGCATAAATAGGACATGACTAATCTCTTCCATGCCCTTAATTTGTCATTATGGAGTCTTGTCGTGGGATCAAATCCCAATGAGGTGGATTTTTTCTCAATTTACCTAATCTTTCCAGCTGCACTGTGGCCCTGGGGTCGACTCAGCCTCTAACAGAAATGAGTACCAGGATTATTCCTGGGGGTAAAGGGTGGCTGGCGTGTAAGGCTGACAACCTCACCGCCATCTGAGAGCCGATTGTCTAGTAAATGTGGCAGCCTCAACCTCTCACAACCCTATGGGCCTCCATGGCCTGTTACAGGGATACCTTTACCTTTTCATAGGGCTTACAAGTCTGTGTGATCATTTTGTTTCATTTTAATTGTGTTTAGGACCTCTGTTACAGCCTAACATACTGTTTTCTTGTTTTAACATACCAGTTTTCTTCTTTTAAGTTTAGAATTTTGCAGCTGACCTCTTCATCAGCCCTCATTGTTGTCTATATACAGTTTTGTTTAATTAGACTATGATAAGTAATGGAATTTGAAATCTGAATTGTATTGAGATGCACACAACTTTCAACACCGATGCATATTAGTGCATGTACACACACATACACACACTTGATTATGTGCAATTCTCACATCCTCAAACCCAGTGCATGAGGTCTGTAGACAAGACTTCAGAGAACTGCTTGTACTATATTAGTCCAAAATTGTGATATGATATTGTTTGCAGCGGAACTATGGAACATACTGACATTTGGGATGAGTCGTGGAGCAACATCTCAAGTGCCATCTGATGGTGTGACTGTGGCGAAGCCTAGTGAAGTGTCAGATTTTCCACTGGCAAACCAGGCCTTGCTGTTGGTACTTGTGCTAGTGAACCACTGCACAGTTGACAAGACCCTCCACAACCCATATCGACAAGCACTCTTCTCATGTTCCAATTCACTAGGTATGGAATTTAATGGTGAGGTGAAAGCTCTCAGATTAAACAATTTTGGTTTGTCATAGCAACAAATTTTCAAATTGTTGAGCATTACCACACTTCATGAACATCAATATTTCAGTCTGTCATGTATATTTGGTGTGTACTGATAATATTTTATGTGGGGTATGTGAAGTGTACCAAGTTAGGTGGGTCCCTTGTCACCATGGCATGGCGCCTCCTCAGGTTGTGGATGGAGGAGACGCCCTCCAATTTTGGAAGGAAGCTGTGAATATATTGAATAAGCAGTCGCGGACAGCCGACAAGGGGTGGTCCTCCAGCTTGGGGATTGGGCATGGGGGTAATAACTCCTCACTGTAAATTATTATTATGTTATGAAAATGAACACAAAGCCTCGGACCTGGACGGATAATGGACATGAGATTCAGAATGTGGAATGTCAGAAGCATGTATAGGGCAGGTTTGCTCAGGGCAGTAGCAGAAGAAATCTTAAAATATAAGTTAGATTTAGCGGGAGTACAGGAGGTCAGATGGGACGGAGGTGGCATTGCACCAGCAGAAGAATATACATTTTTCTGTGGAAAGGGGAATGAAAATCTTGAATTAGGTACAGGCTTTTTCGTACATAACAGAATCCTATCAACAGTTAAGAGGGTAGAGTTTGTTAGTGATAGGATATCATATATAATACTAAAAGGTCACTGGTGTGATATCATTGTTATGAATATTCACGCCCCAACAGAAGATAAAATTGATGACATAAAGGACAAGTTCTGTGAAGAACTAGAACATGTAGAAAGTTGTCTTCTGGGTTTAGGCACCGTGTATTCTTCGTTTTGGCCGACGTTTCGGAGGAACGTAGTTGAATAGCTGCGGAGAGCAGTAGCTGGCTACTACTCTCCGCAGCTATTCAACTGCTCTGAAGATGGAGGCGCTACGTTCCTCCGAAACGTCGGCCAAAACGAAGAATACACGGTGCCTAAACCCAGAAGACAACTTTCTTCATTGTCATCGCCGTGAAAACCTCAAAACTTAACTAGAACATGTATTTGATAAATTCCCGAAGTACCATATGAAAATTTTGTTAGGAGATTTCAATGCCAAAGTAGGGAGGGAAGACATTTTCAAACCAACAACTGGGAATGAGAGTTTGCTTTAAATTAGTAATGATAATGGAGTTAGAGTAGTAAATTTTGCCACATCAAAAAATCTTACTGTTAAAAGTACATCATAACATCCATAAATTTACTTGGTCATCGCCAGATGGGAAGATACACAGTCAAATAAACCATAATTTTAAAAGATAGGAGATGGCACTCAAGTATACTTGATGTCTGATCATTCAAGGCAGCAGATTGTGATATTGACCACTACCTGGAGGTGGCAAAGGTTAAGGAAAGAATGGCAATGAGCAAACAAACAATGCACAGAGTTCATATGGAGAGGTTCAATCTCAAGAAATTAAATGAGGTAGAGGGTAAAGAGCAGTATCATGTTGAAATGTCAAATAGGTTCATGGCTTTGGAAAACTAGGAAACTGAGATGGGTGTTAATAAAACTTGGGAAACTATTAGAGAGAATATAAAAATGTCTGCCAAAGAGAGTCTAGGTTATTGTGAACCGAAGAAGCATAAGCCATGGTTCGATGAAGGATAATTAAAATCTATTTAAACGAAATCTATAGTAAAGTCCATATAGGTAAACATTTGTCTGATCAATTTCCTATCCAGAATGGTCTAAAACAAGGAGATGCTTTATCGCCACTCCTTTTCAACTTTGCTTTAGAATATGCCATTAGGAAGGTCCAGGGAAACCAGGTGGGACTGGAATTAAACGGGACACATCAGCTGTTGTCCTATGCCAATGATGTGAATCTACTGGGTGATAATGTAGATACCATAAAGAAATCCATATAAACTTTAATTGATGCAAGTAAAAAAGTTAGTCTAGAAGTAAACACAGAGAAAACTAAGTATATGTTGCTGTCTCATCATCAAAATGCAGGGCAAATTCATAACATAAAAGATAGGAAACAGATGTTTTGAAAATGTGACACAGTTCGGATATTTGGGAACAACGATAACAGATTGAAACCTGATTCAGGAGGAAATTAAGAGGAGATTGAACTCGGGTAATGCTTCCTACCATTCAGTCCAGTACCTTTTTTTTGTCTTCTCATCTGCTGTCCAAAAACATAAAAATTAGAATATAACTTTAAATATGTCAGTGGCTCTGTATGGGTGTGAAACTTGGTCTCTGACATTAAGGGAGGAATATAGACTGAGGGTGTTGAGAATATTTGGACCAAAGAGAGATGAAGTGACAAGAGGTTGGAGAAAACTGCACAGTGAGGAGCTTCATCACTTGTACTCTTCTCCAAGTATAATTAGAATGATCAAGTCAAGGAGGATGAGGTGGGCAGGGCGTGTAGCACAAATGGGGGAGACGAATGCATATAGGATATTGGTGTGGAAGCCAGAAGGAAAGAGACTACTGGGAAGACCAAGGTGTAGGTGGGTGGACAATATTAAAATAGATCTTAGAGAGATAGGATGGGATGATATGGATTGGATTAATGTGGCTCAGGATAGGGACCAGTGAGGGCTCTTATGAATATGGTAATGAACCTTCAGGTTCCATAAAATGCTGGAAAATTCTTGAGTAGTTGCAGAATTGGCAGCTCCTCCAGAAGGGCTGAGCTCCAAGAGTAAAGAAGTATGTGAAGTGTAGTATAATACGTGGTGCTGTCCAAAAGTTCCCGAAATATGAATTTTGCATGCGAATGGTTAGGATTATATCGAGTTGAGTGGTTGGGTTTATTGTTGGTGAACGTATTTCCATTATTCTGTTTCCGTGAGTTTACGGTTTTGCGATGTCTGACCTGAAAGAGCAGTGTGTCTATATAAAGTTTTATTTGAAAGTTGGGAAAATTGCTGCAGAAACGCACCAAATGTTGAAGCAATCTTTTGGTGACAACAGTTTAGGCCAGACACAAACTTACAACTGGTATAAGCATTTTAAAAATGGCCGAACATTGACTGATGATGATCGTTTGGGACTGCTGTCAACTGGTACCCCACCAGAAAATGTCACGAAAGTTAGGGACCTGATTCTGCAGGATCGTAGACTGACCATCCAAGACCTCTGTAACACCTTGGGACTAAGTTATGGTACATGTCAACGGTTCAGAACTGAACATGAGGGTTGCGGTGAAGTTTGTGCCACAATTGCTGCAAAATGAACAGAAGCAGCATTGCTTGGAAGTATGCTGGGATCTTCAACAACAGCTTCAAGGTGATCCAAACTTTCTTTTGAAGGTTGTCACTGGTGACAAAAGTTGGGTTTATGGGTACGACCCTGAAAGTAAGCGGCAATCATCGCAATGGAAGAGCCCTTCTTCACCTTGACCAAAAAAAGCTCGACAAGTCAAGAGCAACATTAACCTTTATCGGATAGGCCATTTAAATTCCGGTAAGTGGCAGTGGGACGGAATTAATTTAAATGCCCGCCATTGTAGGGTAATAAAAATTGTAATCATGTTACTCAAAATGCTGTGATTTCTACAATTTTTGTGATAAACGAACGAAATAAACGCTGCTTTTATCTAGAAAGAATATAGAATCAGATATTATAATTTACAGGTTTTAGAATCTGTAAAAATTGTTACACTGATTCCAAAATTTTTTTTTCCCAATTTTAAGCGTCTGTCCACAAATATGCATTCAGTTTCTGCACAAAACGTTTCTGCAGTATAAATGCCTGCTGGTGACATCATTCATACTCATACTGCGCTATCTTAGCCAAAGGGGAAGAAATGTTTATGCTTATATAGCACTCCCAACCTTTCTGTATATACAGGAGTGAGGTCACGTCCCTCAGAGGCTCTCTGTGTATACACGTATCTGCCACACAAGAAGTACTGTTAAGCTTCTTAGAAAGGCCCGCACTTGGCCCCTTGTTCTACGTACTTTCAGTCTTATGTACCACATTCTAAATTGGTGACATTTATCAGCTGCCTATTAACTTCGCCTTTTTCCATGCGAAATGGGGCCATGGTGGATAGTTGAAATTGCGATGTTTTATAAGCGTTATGATTAGAGAAGGCAAATCAGCAACATTGGCTGACTTCCTGCTAATACGAGACAGATGTTGCTTTGTGCGCTTCGCGTGGAAAACAGAGTTACATACGGACAAAGTGCATGAATTGCGATGTCGGACTCTGCATTCAGTTACATGAAAAGTTCAGTTAGTGCTGCAGGAGGGAAGACAGTCTACTTATAAAGCTGGTGTCCAAAAATAATGTAGAAAACCCTGCACATGGCCCCTTTCTTCTACGTGCTTTCAGTCTTATGTACTGCATTCTGAATGGTTTGATTTACGAGCGGCTTCTCTATTTCGACTGCTACAATGCGAAAAGGGGCCATGGTGCATAGTTGAAATTGGGATGTTTTATAAGCATTATGAATAGAGGAGTCCACTCGCCATCACTGGCTTACTTCCTGCTAATATGAGACTAACATTGTGTGTGTGCGCTTCGCGTGGAAAACAGAGTTAATTACGGACAAAGTGCATGAATTGCGACGTTGGACTCTGCATTCAGTGACATGCAACATTCAGTTAGATGATGCAGGAGGGAAGACAGTCTACTTATAAAGCTGGTGTCCAAAAATAATGTAAGAGGAACAAGAATTTCTATCTTAAAATAAGATTTTAAAACACTGTGTGCACGCGTGGACTGTGGGTACCCATACGGTGACGCATGACCACTCGGCTGTACTTTAAATGATGCCGTATGGTGACATTAGTCTCTTAAAGGTTAAGTCCATGTTGATCTGTTTTTTTGATATTGACGGGAGTGTTCATAAGGAGTTCGTCCCTCCTGGTCAGACAGTCAATAAAGAGTTCTGTCGCGATGTTCTAAGGCGTTTGAGGGAGGACATGAGGAGAAAACGTCCAGAGAAGTGGCACATGAATGAGTGGGTACTCCACCATGACAGTGCACGACCGCATATGGCTTAGATTGTGCAGGAATTTTCAGCTAAAAACAAGTTGGCAGTTGTTCCCCACCCACCGTACTTGCCAGACTTAGCTCCATGCGACTTCTTTCTCTTCGCCAAGATGAAAATCAAGTTGAAGGGGCGAAGATTTGATACAGCTGAGGAAATTAAAGCGGAAATGCAGACGGTACTAAACACTAACAAAGAAAGACTTCCAGGATTCATTTGAAAAGTGGCAGAAACGCTGGGATCGGTGTATGCGCTCCCAAGGGGACTACTTTGAAGGTGATGGTATAGAATAAGATCCAGGTAAGACAATAGTTTTTATTAATATATTTTGGGAACTTTTGGTTAGAACCACATATATAAAGGAGAAACTGTATAACTGACTATATGTACATGTTCTTGGTATGAGATGGCATTGACATTGGCCTTGACATCATTCAGTAATGTGTAGAACAAGAGAAGAATACAGGAGAAAGCAGGGGAAGTTAATAGTGTCAAAGCTTAGATAATAAATTGCGAGTCTACCCACTGAATTCTTAACAAGAGTTACTAATAGATGGTTGGGGGACTATGCTACACGCCGGAAGGTTGTTGGTTTGAGTCCCGTTGAGGTGGATTTCTTCGATTGACCTAATCATTCCAGCTGCACTATGGCCCTGGGCTTGACTCAGCCTCTAACAGAAATGAGTAACTGGATTCTTCCTGGGGCTAAAGGACGGCTGGTGCATAAGGCTGAGAACCTTACTGCCATCTGTGAGCTGATTGTCTAGATGCTTTGGGCCCCTCAGCGTCTCATAACCCTATGGGTTTTCATGGCATGTTACAGGGATAGCTTTACGTTTTACCTTACCTTACTGCTACACTAGTATAACAACAAAAGCATCAAGATCAGTGAGATAAGCAAAACCATAAAAATGGAAATTTGGAAAATAGAAAGGTTTCAATTTGAAATCACTGTGTTGGGAAAGATATTGTGTGATGAAACTCATACAGCATGCTTCATAGAGGAGAAGGGGAATTAAATTTTTTAATGCATTAAGACAGAAACTCGATTGGTGAATGTTTATAAACATGGAGTTCATATTTAGTTATGGTGAAGCATTAAGATCATGTTTAAAGAGCACATTAACCAGTAACATTAGACTGCAGCCTAACAGGAGGTTGGTTTTAAATTTCTGAAGTATTTATCCCAACATGAATATTTTTATTTTCACCTGCTTGCAGTTCCCTCAGAATTTATAACAAAAAATCATAAAACTTTTTCAAACGGGTCAGCACCACTACCGCCATAAAAAGTAGACTCCAATATGGATTTCTGATATGCTTGTCATCTAGGAGTGTTCAATAAAATGCATGTATTCTTTATCAGGTCTCTTTGTCAGCCACAGGATTGTAATATTTATAATCTGGACAGAGTTCATTGAATTGTCTAGGTGTTCATATTTTTAGTTATTTCTGTATCATTCATGCTGAAGTAATGCTCTTAATCTGAGAGTGATCAGTAGGTTAGCTGCAATGTATGTACAGTATAAAGTAAGTAAAAGTAAAGTAAAGTAAAGGTATCCCCGTAACATGCCGTGGAGGCCCATAGGATTGTGAGATGTTGAGGTTCCCACAATTTCTAGAAAATCGGCTCATAGATGGCGGCAAGGTTGTCAGCCCTATACGCCAGATGCCTTTACTCCCAAGAATATTCAAAGAATATTCCTGGTACTCATTTATGTTAGAGGCTGAGTCGACCCCAAGGCTGTAGTGCGGCTGGAAGGATTAGGTCAATTAAAAAAATCCAGTGACCTCAGTATGTACAGTATACAGGGTGTTTCACGACTTTAGGGCATAACTGCAGGAGGTGATTTCCTAGGTCTTTGCGATCAAAAAAGTTCATATAGACATGTGTCTGATTTTAGACGGATACGGAGTTATGACCGTTTTTTTCATTCCCATACATGCCCTTGTGTGAATCGCATCTATCATCTTGCAGGTCATTATTTTTAGCCGGCTACAGACAGAGCATTCTTGTTATCTCGACACTTTAGAGGTACCTAAGGCATGGTGGGTTGGTATGTAAGGCCATGACTAGTGTGGCGGCTACTGGTGTTTAGAACAGTTCTCATCTCAGTGCATCTATTATGTTCATGATGCCATTTACATTTTCATTTTAGGAATATGCAGATATGATTTATGTGTATGGGTTTTGTGGCGGTAACTCAGTTCTTTCCATAGCTGAATATCAGCAGCGGTTTCCGAATCATAGAATACCAAACCAGAGAGTGTTTACTGGAGTTTACCAGGCATTGCAAGATACCGGTAGACTTCCCGGCATCTGTATTGCAGCCGAGCGTGGTGTTAATGAAGGCATCAATGAAGAAGGCATTGTTCGTATGGTACACCGCAGTCCACGTACGAGTACACAATTTAATCACGATGGTGTCAATAATACACAATTCTCATTTGTGGGGAGCTGAGAATCCCCATGCCAGTGTTGAAAGCAACTTTCAACAGCGTTTCAGTGTCAATGTGTGGTGTGCAGTTCTGGACGATCAGCTGATAGGTCCTTTCATCTTGAAAGGTCGTCTTACAGGAGAGGCGTACCTCAGATTTCTACAGGAGGAATTGCCCCAACTTTTGGAGGATGTGCCTTTGGATAAATGAAGTCATATGTATTTCCAACACGATGGGGCTCCTCCTCATTCTTCACGTGGAGTTATAAATTTCCTGAACTATTGTTTCCCTGGCTGATGGATCAGATGTTGCAGTCCCCACCATTGACCAGCCAGGTCTCCAGACTTAAGCCCACTGGATTATTGTGTGCGGGGATGGGTGAAAGAACTGGTTTACAATGTGAAGGTGGCAACGCGAAATGCTTTGCTCAGTCGCATTCTGGATGCCGCTGACCACATAAGAAACAGCCAGCTGAAGCTGCTGCGTGCTACCCGTGTGGTTCACAACTGAGCGGCAGCCTGTGTTGCGGCCGGCGGTGGTATTTTCGAAAATCGGCTTTAAGCCCCAATAAATTCAAATTAAAGGTAATTTCACGAAGTTAACTTTACATTCATACTGTGACGTGGATGGCGCAGCAGGAGGTGGGGGTCGCGTGAACTCTGTGATCTCGCGAGTGATGTCACATACCCCCACTCCGTCCATCAGTGTATAACACTCGGTAGACACCCCTTTCCCCACGGTGACTTAACACGGGACGCTGCAGTTGCTACATAGCTGTAAACAACACCTGACAGCACTGCCCAGCAATGCCTTTGTAAGCACAGTGGGGAGTCTGTGCAACGACTGTTCCTAGGCAGTCAGTAAACACGACGTTACACAACAGCGGTGCCTATTACATAACTGTTTTCTGTGTTGTCCATAACGGGGCTAAATAAGGAACAGCGAACCTATTCAACAGTGAGTTACGAGTTAGCCAGGGAGTCAGCAGTCAGCAGTCAGTGTGTGAGCAGGAGTGACACAGTGCGGATGGAACAGTCACCGAGTTCAGTTGTAGTGGAAAGAAGAATACCGGAACGTGTGATTAGAAGTGATAGCGTGAGAAGCAGATGCTTGGCTCACAGGAGAAGTAATTGGGAGCGTGTGACACAGTGACACTGGAATAGCTCCCGTACCGTACTGTGAATACGTGTAGACTACTGAGGACAGAGTGGACAGAATAGTGTGTAGGGTTTGTAAAGTGTGTAAACCTGTGACAGTGTTGTAATTAATTGTAGCCAAGACTTGTAGGTTGTTAAATAAACCAATTAACAATCCGAACGGCGTCTTCAGTGGCAAAATGGTTATAACTCCATAACCGTCCAAAATTGGACACATGTTTATATGAACTTTTTTGATCAGAAAGACCTAGGAAATCACCTCCTGCAGTTATGTCCTAAAGTCGTGAAACACTCTGTATAGTAATAAAGTAATGTAAAAGTTAAATCACGTTGACATATGTTGATTTCTAAGCTTTATTAAAAGCCTTAAAGATACATTACATGCACCATTCTCCTTCAGATCCATGCAGTGAAGCAACACCAACGAGGGCAGCTGCAACCTTCAAACTGGACCTGAGCCGCTTATATGCAACGTTATGTCATATACCAAGCTCCGATGAGACCACTCTGCTTCTCTACCTCCTAGTTCACCGCAACCGGCATGTAAAGACATATATCATGGCCCGCTCAGACATAGAAATGTTGGTAAGATTTTAGGAACTTAAATATTGGTGCTATTTCAGGTTCCTTGAAGCAAGTCCTGGTAAAGTAAATTGGTAGCAAATGAGCACTTAAGAAGATGCATACTTACACACGTAATCTTCTATTTTGATGCTACAACCCGCATAGAGTTTTGGTCTTCTCAGCCACACCTTGGGGGGCACGTGGTAGCGTAGTTGGTTGAAGGGCTATGCTACAAGCTGGAAGGTCACGGGTTCAAGTCCTGATGAGGTCATTGGATTTTTTTAAATTGACCTAATCCTTCCAGCCACACTATGGCCCTGGGGTTCACTCAGCCTCTAACAGAAATGAGTACCAGGAATTAATTAAATAATTTTCCTGGGGAGTAAAGCGCGGTCGGTGTGTTAGGCTGACAACCTTACCGCCATCTTTGAGCCGATTGTCTAGCTAATGTGGGACTCTCAACGTCTCAACCTTACGGGCCGTCATGGCCTGGTACAGGGATAGCTTTACTTCACTTCACTTCAACCACACCTTTCCACTTTGACCTGTCCTGGACTGTTATCTTCTGGTTTGGTACCTTCATCTTCTTAATGTCAGCTTTAACATCTTCCTCCCATCGTATTGTGACATGTTGCGCCAAGCCGAGCNATTGTGATACTGCAGATAGCAGTAATCGTAAATCTGTAATTTGGGTGATTGTAAGTGCGAATGTGAAATAAAATTCGCTATATCAAATACGACGTGAAGTTATTTGTCGCGATATACGCCCGATACGCGACAGTATATTTGGTTTGCCCACTGGTCTGTCTTGTACTTAATGATTTCCATGAGTAGAGGCTTGTAACTGATCTGTTGGTTGGCATTCGCTCTATGTGGCCAAGCCATGAGAGTCTTCGTGCACATTCTTACACACCTAACATAAGGCAAAAAGTGAGATCTGATATATGCAATGTCAAATAGTTAATACATTTAAAGCAGAAAGGCACTTTCCAGCTTCTGTGTTTCTCACACTACCTGGCAGAACCTCAAGAATATGTTTTTTTTTTTCATTGCACCATATTTGAAACTTGTAGTACCTTATTTCTTGATGAATGACAGTGGCTGTTCTGCTGTTAGCTCGGTATCATGACAAACAGAAAGTGATTTCATACACTAAAAATAAGATTCTGATGACTAATCCATGGCAGTATAACCATTACAGGGTGCGGCAGCATAATTTGCTGATTTGAATTTGGCGCCAGGAAGCGAGGTTTGGCCATCAGAGGGTGCGGATGGTCTCATTTGAACGGATGGGTTGGGAAGTTTGTTCTTCCTTCCACTTTAGTACCGAGAATGTGTTGGACGAAGGAACAGCGTGCGTTTGCCGTAGAGGCTTACTTTTCTAACGGTCGCTCGATTGTCGCCATGCAGCGAGCATTCCGCGCACACTTCAATATTTCCGCCCGAGCTTGTGTTCCTGGTCAGCAATCGATTGTTACGTGGGCAAACACATTCAGGAGAACTGGCAGTGTGGAAAAGAGAAGATCAGGGGAACGGCCCGTCAGATCACCCCAAAACATCGAGGTGGTAAGGCAGTCTTTTTTGCGATCTCCTCGGCACTCGGCACACAAGCATGCAGCTGCCCTTGGAATGTCTGATTGTTCTGTGAGGCGAATTCTTCATGATGACCTCCACTTTCATCCTTACAAGTTGGCTGTGGTGCAAGAACTCACTGAATGCGATTTTGCTGCTCAGCAACATGCATGTGAAGCGTTCCTTGAAACTTTGCCTGATGATGCGCTTGTGTTCTTTAGTGACAAGGCTCATTTCCATCTTTCTGGATGCGTGAACAAGCAAAACATGCGCTACTGGAGTGATAACAATCCCCGAGAACTTCATGAGAGGCCCCTTTATTGTGAACGTGTAACTATTTGGTGTGCACTGTCGAGAGTAGGGATTATTGGTCCCTACTTTTTTGAAGAGAATGAGGTTGCAGTTACAGTGAATTCTGTTCGCTATGTGAAAATGATCGAAGAATTCTTTTTGCCAAGTCTTGACGAAATGGATGTTGGGGATGTGTGGTTTCAGCAGGATGGAGCCACGGCACACACGGCGTGAACTGCAATGCGTGTTTGCGGGAACACTTCCCCGGGCGCCTGATTTCTTTGAGGGGCGATCTTCATTGGCTGGTGCGCTCACCCAATATAGCCCCTTGTGACTATTTCTTATGGGGGTATCTGAAATCCCACGTGTACACCAATCGTCCAAGGACCCTTGCTCAACTGAAGGAGAATATTTGCCAAGCCATAGCCAACATACCCATCGCTATGCTGGAAAGAGTCGACCGACACTTCAGAATTCAGGCAAATCAGTGTATCGCCAATGGGGGGGCGCCACTTGTTGGATACAATTTTTAAAACAGAGTAAACTTAAATTTCCAATGTTGTAGAATATGGAGAAAAAATAATTACAATACCTATAACATCTTTTGTTTTATTGACCCTTCAAATCAGCAAATTATGCTGCCACACCCTGTATTTTCAAAGAGGAAGAAAAATTGCAGGTGAAGTGAGTTCAGTCTTGGTTTTTAGGTTTTGATGGGATTTGTTTCACATTTTATTGGTCACAAATAACCAGTGCATTTTAATAGACTTTAGGCTTTTGTGTTACAGGTAGTACCCATACTGAAGACTCTATACCATGCTCCAGACAGCAATTCTCATCATATATACATGTCACTTATCATCCTGCTCATTCTCAGTGAAGATGACCTCTTCAATAAGACTGTACATGAAACAGTAAGTTACTTCCTATGAAATGGTGACATGGAAAGGGAGACTTAAGTCTGTGTGCATGAATGGGTATATGTATGTGCATGTGTCTTATTACTGAGTGAAGATGACCTCTTCAATAAGACTGTACATGAAACAGTAAGTTACTTCTTGTAAGAAGGTAAAATGGAAAGAGAGACTGAGTTTGTGCATGTGTCAGAAAGTTCTTGAACTGTTATTGTTGTAACTGCCTTGGTGAAGGAAGATGATAGAGGAGGCCAAGGTCGCTTCCGCAAGCCTATTGCATCAGTCTACCACACTACAGGATACTGTGAACATGCATTGTTTTTACATGAGTGCTTTTTCAACTTTGTGTTTCATTTTTTCTGGTGGATGTCAAAATTGAGCAATGTGCCTGCATCAAGTTTTGTGTGAATTTTGGTAAATCTGCTACTGAAACACTCGAAGTGCTTTGTAAGGCTTTTGGAGAGCATTCTTTAAGCTAGACAGTGGATTTTATGAACTTTCAAAGTGACCAACCAAGCACCATCAAAACAACAGAAAATGTTGAAAAAATTCTAGAACTCATCCATGAAGACCATCACTGAGCAATCCCTGAGCCTGCAGACACTGTTGAGATCAGTTATGGAGTTTGCCAGGAGATCTTAACAGAAAACTTGAACATGCCCTGTATTGCTCCTTCATCACAACAACGTGCCAACCCACATGTCCCTGAAAACCACAGAATTTGTGACTAACAACATGGGTATCATTCCCCATCCTCCCTACTTGGTGGACTTAGTCCCCTGTGATTTTGCTTTGTTTCCAAATTGAAAATGAAACACTGAAGGGATGACATTTTGAAAGAGTGTCTGACATCCAAATGGAATTGCAAAGAGTACTCGAGAGCATTAAGGAAAATGACTTCTGCAGTGCTTTTGAAGCATGGAAAATACGTTGGGATCGTTGTATATGTTCCCAAGGAGACTATTTTGAAGGTGATGGCAGCCAAAATTGAGTAAGTTAAACCAGCTTTTCTTTTTTGACCTAGTTTGGGAACTTACCAATAGCACATGTGTCTGTCTTTTAAAGTTATTTTTTTTGTGTCAGCTATACCAGTTATGTGCATACCTTTAGGGGTATGCAGAAGTCTTTGTGTGTGTGTGTGTGTTATGTGCGCGTGAGGGGGGGGGAGCGGGTTAACATGAACATAAGTGAAATGTCTGAATTTTTTTGTTTTAAGTTTCAGCTATTAAACATTTTTGTAAGATGGCAGGTTTATTGTCTGCATGTAATTTCTTCCAAAAAGCCAGTTATGATTAAATTATTTAAACAGCTTTGTTGCAGTGGTAGAAAAAACTGTATATTTGAAAAATTTAGGTGCTTGGGGTACTTTAAAAACATTTTTTTAAAATGTTGGAGGTGGGCTGCTTTGTATGTGTATAAAAGAGAAGGTTGAGAACACTGTACTACACAGTAGCTACTGCACTAAATCTTAACCTTGTACACAATACAGAACATCTTTTTATGCTTGTTTAAGTCAAACACTGAAAGTTAAAATATTCTGACTTGATTTCTCAAATCTAATGTACTCATAACTTCATCCTGTGTATGACTTCAATCTGTGAGCTCTGAGGTTTCTATGCCATTGAATACAAAGATTGTCTTCTATGCTGTGACATCCTGTAGTGTGGTAGATTGTTATTCACATGTTAGGGAACCTGCTGCCTCCATCTTCAGGGTAGCAGAAGGCAGCAGGTTCATTTGAAATGTTGGTAATCTGGTAGAGTACGTGGTGTCACATCCCAGAAGAGTGTACCAATCTTAATTTTGATCTGTTATTTTCTGACCGAAATACTTGCATATTTTATTTCATATGGCTCTGATGAACATAGATTTATAGTGTGTGCTCTTTTCTGCAGATTTTGAAGGGAGTGACATGGTACACAGAACGCTCAATCTCTGAGATCTCGTTGGGTGGACTGTTGGTGCTTGTGGTTATCCGAACCATTCAGTACAATATGCTTAAGATGAGAGTGAGTAAAGCAACAAAGTTTTCACATGTCTGTTGTGCCAGATAATTGTTTAATTCAGTAGTATTTTGGAGTGAGCTTTCTATAAAGAATGAAATGCAATCGTAATTATTAAGAGGGTCTGTTAGATGTTTCAACTGTCGTGGAATTTGTTTTATGTTAAGTTCATACTTTTAGAGAACATTTAAACAGAGGTCCCAATGAAGCTGCTACTGTTACTCAGAGGGAACAATTTTATATATATATATATATACACTCAACTCTCGATTATCCAGGATAAAGGTGGGGATGGAAATCACGATTAATCGAAAACCCGGTTAATACAAATTTTATTAAAAGTAGTACTGTAATACTGTACCTTCATAATACTATAGGCCTACCTGTATTTAAATGTATTAAACCTCATTTTTATGTCATCTCATGGCCCATTTAATACTTTTTTTTACATTACACTGAAGTATGAATTGAGTTACTTCAATCACAGTGTTCAACAACATCCAACACTTTTTATGAATATTCACATTTAACACTTAAAAAAATTTAATATTGTCGTTTGCTTTTTCG